TCCCCCAGCGGCTTCACATAAATATTGAACAGAAGTGGAGAGAGGACCGACCCTTGTGGAACCCCACAAGTTAGGGGTCTTGGGGTCGACCTCTGTCCCCCTGCCAATACAGACTGCGTACGGTCGGTGAGGAAGGAAGAGAACCACCGCATCACGGTGCCCCCCATTCCCAACCCACCCAACCGCCGCAGCATGATACTGTGGTCCACGGTATCAAAAGCCGCCGAGAGGTCCAAAAGAACTAGGACAGAGGAATAACCCCTGTCCCGGGCCCTCCAGAGATCATTAACCAACGTGACCAATGCCGTTTCCGTGCTGTAACCCGGCCTGAAGCCCGACTGGAGAGGGTCTAGATTTTCATTAGAAAAAAATATTTTATTTTTTTCCCTCATAATGTATAATCAATTTTGTAATTCTTAAACCTAGATATAAAGACTAATAGCTAAAAAAATTAATAGGATGAACCTTAAATAAATGACATGATTTTTTTAAAAAAAATTGGACCATTTCATCATCCTTTCAATCTTTAATTCAGCCAGAATTACATTTATGAGCTCTATTGTAACACAAGTTATAAAATTATATTTATTTGAACATAATGAAATATTATATGTTTCTGTAATAAAAGATTAATTAATACTGGTTATTTAGTATAAAGTGATTGAGCCTATCTATAATTTTTGCAAGAATAATTTGATTTTTGATCTTTTATTTTGGGAGAGATTAAAAAAAAAACATATTTCTAAAGATAATCTGTATTACTCCAACATCTATGTTTGTATCAATGTATTTTTCTGATTATATACATTTTCCCCATTTTTTTCAAGGTAGATAAATTATTTTATCATTATTTCATTGTTATCAAACAAATAAAATACAATGAACATATATTGATTTTACTGATTAATTTAAATTATATGTAATAATTAATAATTATTAAAAACCTTTTAAAATGTATTTTCTCAACATCTAAATATTTGGAAAATATACTACCCTCAGTACAAAAGAGATTTGAACAAACAATATATATATATATTTCCTCTGAAGGAGAAGGGTTAAAATTTATTTAACAGAGGTCTTCTAGTGCAATCTCTCTTCAGGCAGAAGATTATATTCCATCCTGGCCAAATGGTTGCCCTATTTTTTAAAACCTCCAGTGATGGAGCAAACAATCCCAGGAGGCAAACTATTCCACTGATTAGTTGTTCTTATTGTCAGAAAAGTTCTCCTTACCTCTAGGTTGTATCCCTCTTTGACAAGCTTCCACCCATCACTTCTTGTTCTGCACTCTGGTGTTCTAGGCAATAAGTCAATCCCCTCTTCTTTTTGACACCTACCAAGTACTGGAAGACAATTACCAACATTCTCCCCCCCATCCTTTTCTTTGATTTATCTAGACATACCTAGGTCCCTCAACCGTTTGTCATACAATTTAGCCTCCAAGCTCTTTACCATCTTTGTTGCTCTTCTCTGTATACTTTCTAGGGTCTTAACATATTTTTGTGTGTGTTGTGGTAACCAGAATTGCGCTCACAATTCCAAGTGTGGTCTTACAAGTGCAGTGTAAAGTGTTACTATTTCTTCTCATCTGAACACTATCCACTTTTGATGCAGCTTAGAAGTACATTGGCCTTTTTGGCAGCTGGAGCATACTGCTGGGTCATATTATGTGGATTGACCACTAGGACTCTTAGATCCTTCTCACAGTTACTGCTGTTGACCTAGGTACCATCTATTCTATGTCTGCACATTTGCTTCCCCCCCCCCCCCCAACTGTAAGACATTACTTTTTTCACAGCTGAATTGAATTTTATTGAATAGGGCCAAATGTTCAAGTCTGTCAAGATCCTTTTGGATCTTGAACCTCTCTTCTAAAGTGCTGGCTATTGCCACCAGCTTGGTGTTATCTCACAAATTTGATGAATTCCCCTTCTATCTCTTTATCTAAACAGTTTTACCAAATTGGTAACTGATGCAAAAATTTTTTCAAAAGAATAAGTCTAAAGTCTAAAGATGAATGGTTTGGGAACTTGCATTCATCTATTGAAACAGAATAGATGTGTTCAAACAAGCTTTTGATGGAACTGTACATAATATAGTAGTATTGCTGAGGGGAAGATTAATATCTAAAGAGAAAAAGATGAGAGGGGAGTACTTCATCTGAAATTTACTAATTATTTCTCTAGACATTTTTCCATGTTGTAAATATAAATGTAAAAAAGGGACTCTATCATTTATGGTGGACATATGATAAGGCAAAGAAATATTGGAGTAGGATTCATATATTAATTGAGAAAGTTCTTAAAGTGAACATAAAGATTAAACCAGAAACTTTCTTTCTGGGCTCAATGGAAAGAGAACTGGGAAAAAAAGTGAAACTCTGATTTTATATATGGTGACAGCAGCAAGATTGCTCTATGCACAAAAGTGGAAGGATGCCTCCATTCCTACCACGGACAAAAGCTGATGGAATTAGCAGAGATGGCCAAATTGACTTTGCTGATAAAAGAAAAGAACATAACTACTTTTGTTTCTACTTGGATACCACTTCTGGACTTAGTGCTTGAGGTGGAAAAAAATGTTTTATCGATTAGACTGATTTGCCGATACATAAATGGCTAGTGCTTACTACTATAAAAATGTAAAAAGTTGAGATTTGATTTTAATGTCTGATTTTACTGCAACAGAGAGAGTTGGAAGTCAATGCCTTTTCTTTCTTCCCCCCTTTTCGTCACACCTTTTTTGTTTCCACCTTTTTCCCTACTATTTGCTTTTGTATTTTCACATTTTATGTTATAAATGAATAAAACTATTTTTTTTAAAAAAGTTCAAGTATTCATTTTTATATACTTATGTGAAGATACACAGTAATCAAAATTATCAGAAGTTTCAACAATTAAACACCACTCGTGTCCTCAGAAATATAAAAACTGCAGAATATATTACTTGTATTTACAATTTCTTCTTTACTGAAGAATATTTATCTATAGCACTAGGATAATCATTAGGATTTTGTTTTTGGCTGTACCTTTGTTATATTATTAATACAGAAAGCAGTGAAGAAAACAACTCACCAGTTCTTATCCAACAAAGGAAATAAGAAGATGATAATAAATAACTTTCCTTCTTATATGGCAACACTCTATTCTCTAGTGTGTTTCATGACAGAGTACATACTCAGAGGAAACAATTAAAACAGCCATTTTTCACCTAGATGACGTATCCAACATTCAGGGTATAATGGGAAGTTTTATTTATTTATTTGTATCCTGCTTTTATTACTTTTACAAATAACTCAAAGCAGTAAACATATCCAACACACCTTCCTTCTTCTATTTTCTCCAGTACAACTCTGTGAGGTGAGTTGGCTGAGAGAGAACACAACTGGTCCAAAATCATCCTGCTGACTTTCATTGATAACGCAGGACTAAAACTCACAGTCTCCCACTTTCTAGTCTTGTACCTTAAGCAGTAAACCAACGTGGCTCTCATATCACTGAAACTCACATACAAAAAGAAAATGTGAGCTCTAGGTTTATAAGTCCTCATTTACCAATTACCTTGACAGGAAGTAGGTATTTTTTCCTACCTATTTTCTTGGAATAGAGTGCTGTTGAATAAAATGCAAAGTATTGCACACCTCCAGATTCTATACTAGCAGTATACAGAAATAAATTTGTATTGGCTCCAACTCCTCAGAAAATAATCTGCAATCACTAAGATTGAATTCTACCCAACTCTCATGCCTTCCACTGCCCAACCTTGAAAAGCAGCAGTGGCTCCAACTTGCTATTAATTTTTTTTCAGCAGAAAAAGATGAAATTGTCAGAAACAGTTCATTGATTGATTGATGGACCTATGCAAACTAGTGTATTAAAACATTTTATAGCAATCTAAATTGGACTAGTGTCAGATTGGACTAGTTATAATCCAAATAAATTGCATTAATATATTTAAATAAGTAAGTAAGTAAACAAACAAACAAACAAACAAATAAATATCCACATAACCTTACTGGTTAAGATTTTCATTACACTTAAGTATTTAAGTCTTTTTTCCTTACACAGGCCATCCCAACACTTTTACATTTCTCATATCTTAAAAAAAAGAAAAAAAGAAAAAAGAAAAGAAAAAGAAATAAGAAGGTAGTATACTACTTAAAATACATATCCCTCTTAGTCTAATGTACATTTATATCCAGATTTTTTCTCTTCTTTTTAATCATTTTCAAGCATATGTTTAATCTTTAAGTGTTCCATTTAAATAAATTCAATTATCTAATCTTTTAGATCTAATCAAAGCATTTTTATCCATTCAAAATTTTCTCAAGATCAATTTCACTTAAGCATCTAAAACATTTCCTTTATATAAACCATTCTAACATTTTTTATATTTCTCATGACAAAACACAAAACGCAAAGGAAAAAAGAAAGGGAAAAAATACTATATTACTTGAGGGGCTCATCCCTCTTAAACTAAAATTAATTTATAT